GGTACTGGTCTGTGGCCTGTTAGGAACTGGGCCAGCGAGCAAAACTTCATCTGTATTTACATATGCTCCCCATCAGTCACATCACCGCATAAGCTCTGCCTCCTGTCAGATCAGTGAGGGCATTAGATTCTCCTAGGAGTACAAACCCTACTGTAAACTGCACGTGTGAGGGATCTAGGTTGCCTGCTCCTTATGAAAATCTAATGCCTGATGATCTGAGGTGGAGGTGACATGGTGATGCTAGTGCTAGGGAGCAGCTACAAATACAGATTATAGTTAGCAGAGAGGTTTTACTGCACAATAAACGTAATGCACTTGAATCATCCCGAAACCATCTACCCCCACCCTCACCCCACCATCCGTAGAAAAATTGTCTTCCATGACACCAGTCCCTGGTGCCAAAAAGGTTGGGGACCACTGCTTATACCACAAAGCATAGTGCCTTGTAGAGAACAGAGAAACAGATATTTATTGACCTATTACTAAAATCATCTTTGTTCTTTAGGTGAATTTTTCCTCTTTGGATATTCATTTACACACTGAAGCACTTCTGAATACAATAAATTACCTTAATAATATCCTTCCACAATCAGAGGAAAAATCAGCCTCAGTGAATATTATAGAGACTGAAGACAAAGGAGATGTCATTAAAAAACTAGGTATGTTTCTTTAGAATTCAGATTCAAATTTTTTTACCTAGTAGATCAATAAATCTAGGCTCTGGCTTTATTATTAATTTATTATATTGGCTTCATAATTCTGTTGCCTAGGTTAATATCTAGAAGGATTCATTATATAACAGGTTAATTTTAGAAAATGGTAAAGGAAATTGATTACTACTGAAGAAAATGTGGCTTTGTTTATTATATATAATAATTAGTTTTAGTTGACAATTATACAGCATAAGTATTTGATTTAGATTAAAATTTATGCATGTATTCACACCTAATGGGTGCAGTGCTCACTCTCTGGGGGATGGACACACTTGTAGCTCTGACTTGAATGGGGAAAAGGCAATATATGTAACCTAAACATTTGTATCCCTGTAACATGCTGATAAATAAATGAATGAATGAATGAATGTTCTGACTATAAAGAAAAAAAATTATGCATGTAATAGCATGATTGTTTTAGATTAGAAAAATGTGACTAAAAATTTGACTAAATTTTGAGTAATATTAGAGCGTATTTTTTAATCAGAGTACAGTACTTTTTAAGCAATGGAAAGTTAAAATTTTGATAATGATAAGTATTGCCTAATAATCAGCTATCAAAAGATTTAGGAATTTATAGCTACAGTTTCTTAGTTTCAAATGTTTAGTCTCCTCTAGAAATAGTATTTTGTCTTTATTTGCTTTTGTTTTCATTAGATTAGATTTTTTTTTGTTTTAGAATTCCCAGTTAAGTAAGGAATGTCATACCTTGTTTTCAACAGAATTGCAGATCAGGGTTTCTCTAATACTGCTACTTGCGGTGGTATTTCAGTTACTTTGTATCTATAGTGAGGTAACTACTAAAATTTCTTCCTTGTGTTTTACAATATGACCTTTTTTTGCAGCTTTTAAATTATCCACAAATGAAGATATTATTACCTTGCAGATTTTAGCAGAATTATCGTGTTTACAGATCTTTATTCAAGATCAGAAACGTAAAATTTCTGAAATTAAGATTGAAGGTAATACAATTTTATAAAAAATAAATTTAGAACTATTAAATGAAAGAAAAGGCAATTAGTCATCCTTTTATTCCCTTAGGACTTGATTCTGAAATAATTATGAAACCTTCAGTAACTGAAATAAATGCAAAGCTAAGGAATATAATTGTTTTGGATTCTGATAAAACAGCTGTATACAAAAAGGTAAGAATTTGTTTTTATTAAGTGTTAATACATCATTAAATATAATTGTATTTTAAGAGTGGTCATAGATATCAATTAGATAGACAGTTGTTGGAATTTAACAATGTGGCTTATTAGGTCCATGGATTTTGAAGTCAGGCATAATTAGAGTCTTATCTTAGCTCTGCTCCTTAATAGCTGTGTGACCATTAGCAAATTTCCTAATCTTGGATTATGTTTGTTTATTCGTAAAATGAGGATTTTCGTAAAATGAGTATCTCATAAACGAGGTAAGTGTAAGTAATGCTCCTGGAGCAAAGTTTTGGGAGGGGGCTTGGTAAATACCCTTTTCACTATTTTTCTTTTTGTTCTCTTCAAATACTCTGACCCTTGTAATACATTTCAGATACAGCAGAGGATCTGAAGTCTAATTCAATAGTGAGATTTTTTTAAAAGTTTATTTTCATGAATGATTTACTAGTATAGCTGCTATAATCCTAAGAGAGTCATTTGAAGTGGTTAGTGGTTGAAGGGCAGGTAATTTGTTACTGAGTGTATACCAGTAAGGTTCCTTACTGTTGTGGAGTTGGCCAGGTAATACTGAATAATGAGGCATCTAGGTAGGATGGTATATTTAAGAGAGTGAAGAGAATAGCAGGTAGCAGGATCAGGAGAAGCTGAAGTACATGTTGAGTCAGGAAGTTAGCATTTGGAATATGGTAGGAAAGAAGGAAATAGATAAATTAGACTTAGCCAGTAATACTGATGACATAGTGATGACCTGATTTTAATGTTTAAAAAAAATCTTTATTTCTTATATCTTCTTCTTATGGCTTATTTAATGTGGGATAAAAAGAGTTTGAAAACATCAAAGGGGCATAGCTCATAGGAATAAGGAACAAGAAAATTTCCAGAATGGTTTTATTTTCTTCTATTACTTTTACTTTAAAAATCATAGTATTAGAGCATTTTTTTTTTATTTCAGCATATGGGGGTACAGATGTTTAGGTTACGTATGTTGCCCTTGCCCCCCCCCAAGTCCGAGTTTCAAATATGTCCATCCTTCAGGTGGATGCACTCTTTGTGTATGCATATACCCGTCCCCTCCCCCCTCCCCCCTGCCCAACATCCAATAGATGTTATTCTTATATGTGCACTTATGTGTTGATCAGTTAATACCAATTTGATGGTGAGTACACGTGGTGCTTGTCTTTCCATTCTTGGGATACCTCACTTAGTAGAATGCGTTCCAGCTCTATCCAGGAGTATGTGAGAGAAACAATCACCATTGTTTCTTAAAGCTGAATAGTACTCCATGGTATACATATACCACATTTTATTAATCCACTCATGTATTGATGGACACTTGGGTTGTTTCCACATCTTTGCAATTGTGAATTGTGCTGCTGTAAACATTCGGGTGCAGGTGTCTTTCTTATACAGTATCATTTGCTCTTTTGGGTAGATGCCCAGTAATGGGATTGCTGGATCGAATGGTACTTCTACTTGTGTCTCTTTAAGGTATCTCCATATTGCTTTCCACAGAGGTTGCACTAGTTTGCAGTCCCACCAATAGTGCATGAGTGTTCCTATCTCTCTGCATCCACGCCAACATTTATTGTTTTGGGACTTTTTGATAAAGGCCAGTCTCACTGGAGATAAGTGATATGTCATTGTGGTTTTAATTTGCATTTCCCTGATGATTAGAGATGTTGAGCATTTTTTCGTATGTTTTTTGGCCATTATTCTGTCTTCTTTTGAAAAGTTTCTGTTCATGTCCTTTGCCCACTTTTTGATAGGGTTGTTTGATTTTTTCTTGTTGATTTAGTATTAGAGCATTTAAGTAGTAGATTATCTATTTTATTTTCCCTATCTAGAAAGTAAAGCTCACAGAAATAAAGGTATCTGCTAAAAGTCATACAAGTAGTTAGTGACAGAACCAATGCTATACCCCAACCTATTGATTTTTTTTCTCTGTAATTTTATTTTTAATATATCTACAAGGTTAAAAATTCAATTTACACAAAGCTACAAAATGAAAAATCTCTGTCTCAGGTCTGTCTTCTTGCTCCATTCCAATTTCCCTTCGCTGTTTTTTGACTTGATTCCAATGTACATGGTTTTTAAACAAATCGCCTTATTCAGTAAGTCTCCACATGTCAAAGAACCAGAGAGACACAAGCTTTTTGCCCTATATCAGAGCTTCATAATCCTTGTGCCAGGATATACAAGATTGTGCCATGAATAGGTTTTAGGTATACTGATACATTGAGCCCCTCAACTTTGAAGGTTGGAGCCCTCAGACCATTTGACTCTGTCCTGAAGAAGTATCCTTCATTTGCTGTAGCACCATCGTACAAATACTGTTGTTATTTGTGCATGCCATATGGTAAAATGGATTGTAGCTGACCTGGCCATCTCATAAAATAAAATGTAATAGTAAGTTAGCTTCTTATGTCTTTTTTATGGAAAAATGTTTTGAAAGTGAAGGTTTTAAAAAAATCTAGTTTATAACACTCGCTATTTAGTGTGGTAGGTACGCAAGTGTTTCTAAATATTCTGTACTTCTCTGGCTTTGTTATTAGATTAATACTGGCTTATAAAATGAGTTCAGAAGTGCTTTCTCCTATTTTCTGAAAAATTGTTGTAGAATTTGCATTATTTCTTCCTTAAACATTTGATAGAATTCACCAGTAAAAATATTTTTTGTATGTGTTTGGGGCTGGGGTTCAGTTCATTCAATTTCATTTTTTTCCGTATGGCACTTAATTTTTTATTAATAGTATTTATTGAAATAGCTATTATTTAGCTTATTTGTCACAAAGCCCATTGAGATCAGAACTTCATTTTTTGGTTTTACCAGAAAGAAACTGAACTATGTAACTTCTAGAAATCACACAACTAGTAGAGCTTTATCTGACAACTAGATGTTAAGAACCATTCAGGCTCTTTATACAGTTGGCACTCCATTTCCATGGTTCCACACAAGGGGATTCAACCAACCTTGGATAGAAATATTTGGGAAAAAAATGAAAAATAATAATACAACAATAAAAAATAATACAAATTTAAAAGTACAGTATAACTATTTACATTGTATTAGGTACTATAGGTAATCTAGAGATTATTTTAAGTATACAGGAAGATGTGCTTACTACACAATTTTATTCAAGGGCCTTGAGCATCCACAGATTTTGGTATCCAAGTAGGTCCTGAAACCAATCCCTCTTAGATACTGAGGGATGACTGTTCTCGTAACCATTTTATACTGACTCTCAATTCCATACTGATGTAATTATTAAGTTTAATTCTTAAGCTCTATAATTAATCTTCCACCTTGTTTCTCTTCTATAATGCTATGACTGTTCTTGACTTTTGTTTTTCCACATAAATTTTTATACCTTCTTGGTTGAATTTAACCATTTGTGATTATGGAATGTACCTTTCTCTCTTTGGTAATTCTCCTTGTTCTGAAGCCTACTTTGGTGGTAAAATAGCCACTCTAGGTTTCTTTGACCAGTGTTTGTTTACATGGTATATCTTTGTCTATCCTTTAATTTTTATGTATTATTTATATTTAGATCTTGCATTTTTGTGCAATCTGACAATCTCTTGACTTTAAATTTGTGTTTGGACCATTTAAAAAAAAGCAATTATTGTTATGCTTGGATTATAATCTGATACCTCACTGATTGTTTTCTGTTCTCTAGTTGTTTTGTTCATTCTATTCTTTGTATTTTCCTTTTTGCCTGATTTTGAATTATTAATAATTATGATTCATTTTATGATTTCCTTTGGCTTTATAATATATATCTTTAATCACAGTCTATGTTCCGGTAATATTTTACTGTTTTACGTATAGTGTAAGAATCTTACGATACTATACTTCCAATTCCTATTTCCTTCTTTCTTGATATTATTGTCTTATGCTTTATTTTTATACATGTTGAAAACCTACAATACATACCTACTGATTTTGGTTAGTCAGTTTTCTTTACAGCAATTAATTTTCTAAAGAAAATGTTTTATATTTCTCTTCATTGTAACCATTTCTGGAACTCATTTCTTCATGTAATTTCTGTCTGTATTTCTATCTGAAGGACAGTCTCATTTCTTATAATGCAAGTCTGCTGGTAATGAATCCTCTGAGCTTTTTAAGCAGAGATGAGAAGGGAGCTGGAAAAAATCCTTTATTTTACCCTAATTTTCTGAGTAATACTTTTCCTGGATATAGAATTCTGGATTGGTAGTCCCTTCTCCATCTCCCTACCTCCCCACCTTTCAAACTGTTAAAAAAGTGACTCCATTGTACTTTGTTATACATAGTTTTGATGAAAAGTATGTTATGTATCTTATCTTTGTTCTTCTGTGTGTAAGTCGTCATCTTTTCTGAGTGGCTTCAGGATTTATGTATTGTGTGTCTAGGTGTGTGTAATTATGTTTTGATATTTGTCCTGTTTGGGCTTTTCTGAGCCACTTGGATGTATCTGTCTTTCATTATTTTTCATTAACTTTTTAAATATTTCATCTGTCTCTGTCTCCTCCCCCCTCCCCCCTACCCCCGCCATCGCTCCCTTTCTCTTCCTCCACCTCTTCCCTCTTCCCCTTAGATTCCAAAAATTCCTGTTAGATTGATTCCTGTTTAGATGTTGTCCCACAACCTTTGGACACTCTCTTCAACTTTTTTCCTATTCTTTTCTTAATGCATTTCAGTTTGGATAATTTCTTTTAACCTATTTCCAAATCCACTGGTTTTGTCCTTGGCTTTAGCACTGAAGATACTCTTCATCTCTGTTACCATGTCTTAAAATCTTTAATATTTCCCTTTGACTCTATTCTTTTTTCCATTTCTCTGCTGATATTCATTATCTGTGCATGTTTTCCACCTTTTCCATTAGAAGCCTTTACCATATTAATTATAGTAATTTAAAATTCCCCGGCTAATAGTTTGAATATCTGTGTTGTAGGCAAGTCTGGTTCTTTTGATTGCTTTATCATTTGTTGGGTTTTTTTTGCTTTTATGGAGCATCTCATAGTTATTGACTGAATGTCACACATCATGTATAGGATAATAGAGACTGAGGTAAATAGTATTTATGTGTGGAAATGGGTATGCCTTTATTTCTGCCAAACTGTTAGCTTGGGGAGTTGAGTCAGTCTGGTGGAGAGTCAAGCTTGGTTTGAATTTTCTTATTTTATATGATTCCCTTCACTACCATTACTGCTTCAGATTTCTTCAGATGTACCTCATGCTTTTAGGGTGAGTGAGGGCTAGGTTGCTAAGATTTCTGTACCAGGCTCAGCCTTTGACCTTTCCTCTACTATCATGCCTCATAAAATTCTCTTTTCATTCTCTTGGCTTTTTCCTTGATGTTGGATACTCCTGCTGCTTGTTCCTTACAGCTTACAAACTTGAAGGTAAGTATTTGAGAGAAGGGAAGTGGAAGTGGTTTGAGTAGGCTTGTCAGTTGTCCTGGTCCATTTTCAGTACTCACCTGTTTTTCTGTGTCTCAGAAATGGAGCATTCTTGGTGATCCTGTCCCTCCTTTCCATGATGTCTGACTAGTATCTTTGGTGGTTCCTATGTGGGATTGCATGTCTTTCCCTGCCCGAGCAGAAGAAGACCTCTAATGGTCTGGTCCTAGGAAGGTTCTTGTTCTTCCCCCAGCTGCAGAGAGTTTTATTTTTTTCCCTGGGATTTATCTTTTCATCTGTGACCTGAGGACATGAAGGTTTACTACCCTTCTTCTGTCTTAAAGCTTTTCTTCTGAGAAGAGGATAATTTTGGTACTGCTTTGGGGCCTTTTCTGCAGTAGAGCCTCCTCCTCTTTTCCTGTACCTAGGAAAACTTTCTCTGTTTTTCTCCTTTTCCCCTATTCTTTCTCATGAGCTCCCAGCAGAAGCTCATGAAGTGACTGCAACTGAGTGTAAACTCCTCTTTTGTCTGAGGTTCCCAGGGAATTTGTATCTGACATTAGTCCACAGTCAACCTTTGTTGTTTAGCTGAATTATTCTTTCCTAGATTCTGTCTCTCCTTGAAGGTGCCTAAGTTTTTCCTTAGATTTTAGGGTGTTTTGTTGTCCTGTGACCTCAGATTTCTAACAGTTTTAAGAAAATTATGAGTTTGTAGTTTATCTGGGCTTTTTCTTGTTGACAGGATTTGGAATGACTCTCACTCCATCTTTGTGCATTCTAAGCAGAGGCAGAACTATAGACTTCTCTTCAGCTCCATCTTGTACCTCAACTTTCAGAGGTCCTACATAGCTTGGTTTCTGAGGATCTTTGTTCTGTGGTTGGCATTCATTTGTCGATGGCTCTTCAGTTCCCTGTTCTTGCTTCTAGCATTCAGGAGAGTGGAGAAAGCCATAAACTAAGTTAGTTAGTGTTCTGTTCATGAGCAAATTTTTTTTAACATTTTACATATCCTGTTGTCGCCACCATTTTTAACTGGTATTGCAGAGCTTGAGGTTTTAAACCATTGTAGGTAATTTCTGGTTGGCAGTTAAGATGGCTCTTCTTGAACTAATAAGGAACAGAGGTATAGAAATAGGAGGAGATTCCTTTGAAGAATCTGGAAAATCTATTCACATACCTCAAATCAAGAGAAGTAAATTTCAGTAAGTTGTAGTGTACAGTGTTTTTCAAACTTTTGACGGTAAATCAAGAAATACACTTCAGTATAAAAGTACACATGCAAAATGAAAATGCATATTCTGGCCAGGTGCGTTGGCTCATCCTAGCACTCTGGGAGGCCAAGACAGGAGGATTGCTTGAGGTCAGCAGTTTGAGACTAACCTGAGCAAGAGTGAGACCCCGTTTCTATAAAAAAATAGAAAAATTAGCTGGTCTGGTGCCAGGTGCCTGTAGTCCTAGCTACTCAGGAGGCTGAAGCAGGAGGATTGCTTGAGCCCAGGAGTTTGAGGTTGCAGTGAGCTATGATGACATAACTGCACTCCAGCCAGGATGACAGAATGAAACTCTGTCTCAAAAAAAAAAAAAAAAAAAAAATGCATATTCTTATCTTTTTTCTTCTATTCTCCATTTGAAAAAAAAAAAGCTGGGCCAGACCCACTAAATTGATTTCATGACCCACAAAGAGAGCTGCCACCACCAATTTGAAAAACTTTGCAGTGTAGATTCCAATAAAACAGAATTGTTGCCTCATTTGTACTTGGCTTGCATAAACTGGAAGATTGTCCAAATATGTGTATATGTTTTGTTAACTTGCGCTTTAAGTTTGTACTGAAGGCACATCATTTCAAAAATGGATTGTGATAATTGAATTTTCTCTTGTTAAGGCTGTTTATATCACTGGAAAAGAAGTTTTCAGCTTTAAAATGGTTTCTTACGTGGATGCAACTGCTAATTCTGCATACACAGATGTGAATGTAGTTGACATTCAGGTTAATTTAACAGTTGGTTGCATTGAAGTAGTTTTTGTCACAAAATTTCTATATTCTATATTGGTAAGTATTTTAATAAATTATTTTTTATTCTTTTATGCTAGGTGGAAATTGCCATATGTCAGACATAGATGAAGAATAACAAGAATTCCGTTCTTGATTTTTTTCTCCTGATTGTTATAATTTTCCTGGTACCACTTATGATGACTGAAATGTGTAGTACTTTTATATATAAGGTTTTATGTAACATCATTTTCACATAGGAATACCTATATATGCACATTATATATCATATATGTTATATATTAACTGAAATCTTCATTTTACACAACATTGGCTTAAGTCTTTGTTTTTCCTGACTTAAGAATTCTTAATGGTGACATGAAACCAAAACAAACTTCAAATATGTATATGCAGTATTTTTTAGTTAGATTTGGAAGTCAGGGAAAACAAGGACTTAAGCCAATGTTGTATAAAATGAAGATTTCAATTAATATATAATATATATGATATATAATGTGCATATATTTAATAGGTATGCCTATGTGAAAATGTTATATAAAATCATCTATTCTAAAATTACATTATTATAATTATATTTTATTATATCTAAATTTTGGTATATAAGCTAGATAAATCTAAGGCTGTAATAGATAAATAGGCCAACTATGGCAATTCTTATAAGCAGGGGAGGGTATTTGTGTATTTACTTTGGTATATTTGGGAATGTGGAGCCCTTTTTTGTTATTTCAGAATTTCAAGTTGATTCTAAATAATGTTGCTGTTTTTGTGTTCTTTTAAATTGAGGCTACCATGCAATTTTTCCTATAGCCATAAAATATTTTTGTACACAAAAATGTAGAGATGAATAGGTATTCCTAGTTAATTTCTTTGTATAATCAAAAACATATGTCACTGAGCCTTCTTGTAATAGCCTTTACTTAGAAATTACTGAAAATGTTAAATTTTTTTTCTTTGAACATGAAAGTTAAGTATAACTCTAAGTAATTTTATGTCATTGAAGTATTTTTTTCTGGAATTCAGAAATTAGAAAACTTATTTGAGAGTTATTAAAGGAACATTTTATTTGCTTTTTTTTTCTTTAATCTTAGAAATATAAATAAGCTCTCTGGCCACTGAAGTTGTATAGGGAAGTATGATGGTTTAGCCATTGGGCAAAGAGAAGCATTAAGGGAACAAGATATCAATAAAACATTCCAGTATCCTCATTTTGCTTTGCTCCAGGGACTAGATTTTTATTTTATCTATATCTTTGTGTTTCTTAATTTTTGCAGTAGAAAATTAATATTTAACATAGACAATCAGATTTTGAATAAATTATGCTTGTACTAAGTAAAAGTTTTTTTATGGAGGTAAAATCATAAACATCAATGTGTATTTAATGTCTTATTTATTAATTGTAACCTTGTGAATATAATTGTTATCTTTATAGGCTTTTATAGATAATTTTCAAGCAGCTAAACAAGCCTTTGCTGAGGCAACTGTTCAGGCGGCTGGAATGGCTGCTAGTGGTGTAAAAGAACTGGCACAAAGGAGTTCCAGAATGGCATTGGATGTTAATATCAAAGCCCCAGTTGTGGTCATCCCACAGTCTCCAGTTTCTGAAAATGTTTTTGTTGTTGATTTTGGACTAATTACAATGACAAATACATTCCATATAGTAACAGAGAGCCAAAGCAATCCCCCACCTATTATTGATTTGATAACAATAAAGCTGAGTGAAATGCGACTATACAGGTAAGCTTTTCACAAGTATATTTGTGTAAAATGCAGTCTTTTTCTAGCTTTTACATTAAAGGCTTTGGTATCTTGAGTATTCTGTTTAAAATAAGATTTTATTTTATTATAACTGTGATTTTGTGATTCTCCCTTAGGTATTTTTTGGCAAAATCAATAATAAATCTTCAGGGTTTTAAAAACCTAGAAAGTATTTGATAATTTCTCCGTAGATAATTAGGAAAATGGTAATAGTTATTATTTGAGGAAGTATATTTGTGCTTTCTGTAGTTCTTTAAAAATTGTAAGGCTGTGGAAGAAATGGGGGGATTTCTCATAGAGTACATTTATTCACTTTGCAAACACACTGTCACTCAACTGCTCTGTCAGCTTTGTGCTGTGGATCCCATGCTCTAATTGAAACAAACAAATAAACAGTAGCATATAACCTGGTGTAATCCTGAGCATTGAGTAGGGGAGTAAATGAATATTCAAATAGTTCCAGAGCTTTTATACTGTGTCCTCTGTGTTTCTGTGCTGTTTCTAATCAGCTGTTCTGGATTTAGTGTCCTATTTCTTTTCCAATTTGAATTCACCTCTGTAGTTCTCATTTGCCCTATCTTTCTTCCTGTCATTTTTCTTTGATCTCATTCTGTTATTTATCTTTTCACTTAACTAACTCTCAATCTCTACTTCTTTTTGGCCTCTGGCTGATCTGTTTTTCCTTCCTCCCCTTTTTTCCATTAATTGAATATTTTTAAAGCAGCTTTATTGAGAAATAATTGAGATACAATAAATTGCATATGTTTAATGTATACTGAAAAGTTTTGACATACATTTGTGACAGTTTATGTGCAATTATATTATTTCTTCCTTAAATAGTAAGTAGAATTCACTGATGAAGCTGTCAAGGCCTAGAGTTTGCTCATGGGAGGTTAGTAAAATATTAATACAATTTTCATTTCCTTAATAAACTTAGGGCTACTCAAGTTATTTTTTCTTAAGTGATCTTTCCCAGTTTTTTAAAAGGAATTCGTTCATTTGATCTAAGTTGTAGAATTTAATGGCATGAAGTTTTTCATAACATTCCCTTCTTATTTATTAATATATGTAGTAATGTCATCTCACTTTTTTTTTTTTTTTTT